CATTCCTTTAATTTTTATTTATTCAATTATTATATTTTTACTTGTAGGTTATTTCACTATCATTTCATTTCAGGTTTATTGTTGCTTAATATAATTGTTATTTTCAACTATTCTTTTTAATTATTCTTTTTTACTTGTTTCAGGGATTTCAAATCATTTTATATAATAGACAATGGAAGTCCGAACTAGTGAAATTCGAGACGATACTTGGTTAACTTCAGAAAGCTTTTTTGAATCGATTCTATTCAGGTCAGTCAAAAACAGGAATTCAAGAACACTTTTTAGTATAATGTCATCATATTCCTATTCAATAGGTAAAGTACTCGATTCCTAAATTTGCTAGATGCACAAGAAATAATTAATATTTTGATTTTGCACTCTAATTTTGAAGCAACAAAACGTCTTTAATGATAATTATTTTTTGGAAAAGACTAAGTAATTTTTGAGAAATGGCTTATCGCTATATAATAGCTTCTTCAGGCGTGTCTTTACACGCAACGCGTGTTGCGTTTTTGTAAAACTGTTAAGTGAAAATCTCACAACAAAGTGTTCCTTGAATACGTCATGGACATTGATCAATTATCGGATGATTGCATCATCTAAATACTACGCTCTTTATCATCGCAATCTGTGGATATTAGTTGATAAAAAAATTACTATCTTTTAACCCCACGAAATTATTTATAGAAAAAACACACAAAGGCGTCAACACTTACCTTCTCTCCTGATTCTACTGTAAAGTTGAGATCATTTAAAACTGGTGGATCATTTTCAACGTATTTCAGTGACACGTTATTGAATTTTATTTTGCCGTCAGTTGGCCAAGAATTTGGTAATGAAGTACCTACAAATAGAAGGATTATTCCGGCATTTCTGTGATCATTTTGATGGACATTAAATGATCATTGTTTCAATTTGACATGAACCAGACTCATACAAAAATCTAATTGATACGAGGCAACGTTTTTCCTTAATGTTGCCGTATATACTATACATTTTTTTGTTTTTATTTGGCGAGATGGGACATTATATGGTATCTTTCAAATATCTTCTTGAAGTTTCAATCCCCTCAGGTATTTAACGATATTACACGATCTTGTTTACAAAATATTCGTGATTCGTCATTAACATCTACAAGGTGTCTAAAATTTTTCTCAACATAATTTGTCATTAAGGAGTATTTTGGTTACTGATGAAAGTTATTCAAAAGGCGTATAAAAAATAATTGTGTCACCTGAGACTTGACTTTCATTGAAGTATGAGTATCGAAATAAATGTTGGTTATATCGATAGAAGTCGTTCAGCTACAACCAATGTAAACTATTTAAAGAAGACGTAGGCTTAACATATGTGACATGGGCGGTATAAGCTGACAATTGAAGAAATGATTCAGTTATGAATGGCGAATTCAATGCCAACTATGACAGAAAGATGAAAAAAAAGTAGGGAAAGAACAAGAAGCAAAAACTGAAAGAGGAAAATTAGATTGAAGAGAAAATCTGGATATATCACTGAAACGACTAGAGTAACAATAATTGTGAAGAAAAGAAGGACTGAAATCGGTTTGTGAGGTGACGCGTTCACAAATTATACAACACAACAAAAAAATATTTTTTGAATGTTTCCTACACTAAATTAGTCAATTTCTACTAATTTTGGGGTGATAAAAACGAAAATAACAATGAAAAATTTTTGTTAGCTCTGGTTTTTGAGATACACAGTACTTAATCTTAAAGAGTAGTTATACTATACGTGAAAAGTGAAAGTACATAAAA